ACAGGCAAAAGGAGGAGGGTATTCCAGACTGATGGAGGAAAAGTATGGAGAGTCCTGGGTACAGAGTGTGAGCCAGCCTGATTGGAGGTTAGAGTGCATAATGAGATGGTCAGACCTGAAAAACTATTTTGGCAGCTAGTAACTCTTAAGAACTTTATCATTATTAGGGCAGTTAGAAGGCCTCTGAGTGCGGGGCTGCTGCTGCTATTACTGCTGCCTCCAAGGCCCCTGCTGTGGCTCAGGACTACACCCACTCTGGTGGCACAGACATCTTCATCACACCGCCTAAGTTGTCTTAGGCTGGAAAGATGTTTCCCTCTGACCTTTTGTTGGCTCTGCCAAACCAAAATTTGATTTGAGGCATTATTTTAAAGTTGTTTGGAGGGGAATATTGGGATAGTTCAGCTGCGTCCTGGTCTGTACTCCATCATATTCTCACCTCTTAGTTTCTGGCCCTACTTTTCAGCTCATGCTTACCTCTTACTGTGCCTCACCCCTGCAATTTATACTAGGAAGGGAGATCCAAGTCAATCAACCCAACAAGCATTTATTAATTGTCTGTTCTGTGCCAGGCACCGTGCTAGGTGCAGGGGATAGAAATATAAAGATAGTGTCTGCCTTCAAAGAGCTTGCCTTCTGCTGGGTGATTACTATGCATTCACAGATCAGTGCTGGTAGGATAGGTACAAAATGAATATATAGAAATGGGGTGGGGCAATAACTAAGGATTTTAAAATAATATTTTTCCTAATTACATGAAAAACAATTTTTAATATTTTTTAAAATGTTGAGTTCCAAATTCTTTCCTCCCCCCCCAAGACAGTAAGCAATTTGACATAGGTTATACATGTGCAATCATACAAAACATATTTCAATATTAGTCATATTATGAAAGAAAAAGGACCAAAAACAACCATGAAAAATATAAAGTAAAAAATAGTATACTATGATCTGCATTCAGACTCCATCAGTTCTTTGTCCAAAGGCAGATAGCATTTTTCATGATGAGTCCTTTGGAATTGTCTTGGATCATTGTATTACTGAGAGCAGCTAAGTCATTCACCATTGACCGCTGTACGATATTGCTGTTATAATGGACAATGTTCTCCTGGTTCTGCTCATTTCACTTTGCATCAGCTTATGCAAGTCTTTCCTTTCTGAAATCATCCAGCTCATCATTTCTTATAGTCCAATAGTATTCTGTTGCAACCATATATAGCACAGTTTGTTCAGCCATTTCCCAATTAATAGTCATCCCCTCAATTTCCAATTCTTTACCACCATAAAAAGAGCTGCTATAAACAGTTTTGTACAAATAGGTCCTTCCCACCTCCACCTGCTTTTTTTTTTTAAATCTCTTTGGTATACAGACCTAGTGATGGTATTTTTGGGTTAAGCATATGCACAGTTTTATAGCCATTCCAGCATAGTTCCAGATTGCTCTCCAGAATGGTTGGATTTAGTTCACAACTCCACCAACAGTGCATTAGTGTCCCAATTTTCCCACATTCCTTCCAACATTTATAATTTTCCTTTTCTGTAATATTAGCTAATCAGATAGGTGTGAAGTGGTACCTCAGAGTTGTTTTAAGTTGCATTTCTCTAATCAATAGTGATTTAGAGCAGTATTTCATATGACCATGGATAGCTTTGATTTCTTCATCTGAAAACTGACTGTTCATATCCTTTGACCATCGACCAAGTGGGGAATGACTTGTATTCTTATAAATTTGACTCAGTTCTCTATATATTTGAGAAGTGAGGCCTTTATCAGAGACACTTTCTATAAAGAATTTCCCCAGCTTTCTGCTTTCCTTCTAGTCTTGGTTATATTGGTTTTGTTTGGGCAAAACCTTTTAATTTAACTGAGGTGATTTTAAAAGGCCTCTTGAAGGAGACAGCATGAACTGAGCCTTGAAAGGTGTTAGGCCTTCCAAAAAGTAAAGGTGAAGGAAGAGAGCTTTCTAGGCATGGAGGGACAACCTGTGCAAAGTCATGAACATGGGAGGCCAAATGTCATTTGTATGGAGCAGCAAGGAGGCTAGTTTGACTGGGGTGTGGGGTATATGAAGGAGAGTCAAGAGCAGGGGTGGGGAATCTTGCAGCCTCAAGGACACATGTGGCCCTCTAGGTCCTCAAGTGTGGCCCTTTGACTGAATCCCAACTTCACAGAACAAATCCCCTTAATAAAAGGACTTGTTCTGTAAAACTTGGACTCGGTCAAAAGGCTGAATCCAAGGACCCAGAAGGCTACATGTAGCCTGGAGGCCATAGGTGCCACACCCCTGGTCAAGAGTAATCAGCTTGGAAAAGTAGAGTGAAATCAAATCATGAAGTGTTTACAGCCTTCCACAGAATGCCAAGCAGGGTAATTTTTATTTTATCTTATGGACAATTATATGCACAGGAGTAACATGATCAGAGCGGTGCTTTAGGAATATCAATTTGGCAACTGGGTGGAACATGGAGAAGGGGAGAAATTTGAGGCAGGGAGACTAAAGAGGATTTTTTTTTTTTTGCAATAGTACAGACAAGAGGTGATAAAGGCCTGGACTGGGATAGTTGTGGTATGGGTAGAGAAGAGGCCAGATGCAAAGGATGTTGAGGTCGTGAAATATATGACTTCATAAGTGATTGAATATGGTGTGGGGCTAGTGAGAGAATGAGGAGTCCAGGGTGATTCTTAGGTTGTGAACTTGGGCCGCTCTAATAAAGTGAAGTAAGCAGATAGGGTAGATTTAGGTGTCAAGATGAGAACTATTTTGGACATGTTGAGTGTGAGATGCTTGTGGGAGGGACATCCAGGTAGAATTGCAATTAGAAATGGGTGACTGGAACACAGGAGAGATGGGGCTGGGTTTGTAAATCTGGGAGTTATCTTGGTAGACATGATCACTGAATCCATGAGTTCTGATAAGATCACTAAAATAAAGAGGAGAGATCCCAGGACTAAGCAATGGGATACATCTATACCAAAGGGACAGAATATAGATAAAGAAACTGAAGAGAAAACTGAAAAGGTAAGAGGACTGTCTGAGCGGTGTTGCAGCAACCCAGTGACTATCCAGGAGGGGGTGCTCGATGGTGTCAAATGACGAATAGAAGTCAAGGATGAGAATGGAGAGAAGGCCGTGAACCCTGAGAGCCCTGCTCTGCGCCCAAGGGAAGTGAATCAATTGCACTGTGCCCTTGCTTTATTCTTTCCCCCACCTCCTGGTCACTGACAAATACACTCTGGAAGAGCCCACAAGAAACTTGAATCCCACCTCTACCCAGAAGCCATTGTCTGGGTTTTTTTCAGATAAAAGCACAGGAAACTCGCTGCCATAAGTGAAACGTGAGAGACACAAAAAGTTCTAGGCTAGGAAATGATAGTATATACATAGCCCTCAGACCTCCTGACCTTCCCTGTCTAGCCTGGGCAAGAAGGCTGAGACCAGGACAGCATTGGCAGTCCGATGCTGGGGCTAGAAATAAAGCCCTTTAAATAGCCCTAGAGTCTGGATGTCTGTAGCCCCATCCTGACGGGAGGTGTGGGAGCTGTGGGTAAGGCAGCGCCTTGGTCTGTGAAGTGGAATGTAGCTGGGAGAGGGAGGGGCTGCTCACCCGTTCTCCCTCCTCGACCCCAACAGCTCTTTATGCTTTTGTGCACACATACCAATCTGGGGACCACAGCTGCCCACGCACCTATTCAGTCTGCAGTCTTACCAGGAATAGAACCCAGGCATCCAGAACCCGCAGAATCGCCTTCATCTCCTGCCCAGCTGTCAGGAGCCAAATCGAGGCCCCCACCCTGGTTATACACTCCGCCCACCCTAGGCAGTTGCTCCCAGAAACTCAGTGGAGAAGGTTGGGTTTCCATGACAACGCACCTCGGGTGCTGGAAAGGGTGAGATGGGACTGAGCTAAGTACTGAAAGGAGGGAGCATTCCCCCCCTGCTTGTGGGGTAGCCCAGCTTTCCCTCCTATGATTGCATTTGTCTCCGCATCCCCCCCTCCCCCCCAGTTGTTTTGCCGCATCTCAGGCAGCAACAACCTCGGAATCCAAATGTTGCTACGGGGAGAATTGCAGAGAGAAGGGGAAAGAGGGAGGGGGAGAGGGGGAGAAACGGAGATTGGTAGAAAAGGAAGGAGAGAGGGAGAGCGAAGAGAGTGAATGGAAAAAAACCAGGAGGCAGAAGCTGGGTGGGGGGTGGGGGTGGGGCGCAGCACAGGGCTGTGTCTGGGTGATGTACATTTCCTGCGGATGCTCCAGTCCTATCGGATCTGGGCAGGGGGATCGTCTACCTCAGGGGGGAGTGGTTGTGGAGTTATGGAGGGGAAAGTGTGTGTATGTCGGGGGGGGGGGCAATGGGTGTGTGCTGTGGTTTGCAAGTCGGTAAATTACTGTAAGGGCAGCCTGACACTGCGGGCGGGGAGGGAGGCTAGGTTCGTACCCCCTTGCTTCCTAGCCCCTCAAACACTGTTGCAGCCCCTGATGCTGAGAGACTCCACCATGCTCCTTGGGAAGCAGCCATATTAGAGCCAGAGATTTATTTTTAGCAGAGAGTGGGAGGGGGCTGAGGAAACACCACCTCCCCTTTCTATTCCCCCTTTCCCTGCCCCCTTCCCAGTCGACTTCCTAGCTCATAACACTCGTGGCTTCCTGGCCAGCCAGCTCCAGTCCCTTCCCCCATGCCTCTTCTTTTGCCTAGATACCGGTGCTAGGAGATGTAACAGAAAGATACAGCTACAAGTATACTACCCCATACCTAATTACACATCCACAATGACGCATATCCACACAAAAATCGCAAGTATACACTCACACAACCACACCCAATTACACACATCACCACTAATACACTCATGTGCAATCACACATCCACACTTAGTTACACATACTCTAACAACCCAATGGACACAACCCCCTCTTCTCAACCCAGGCTCCCCAGGTCTCCCCATCTTCAGGCTCCCTTACTGACCCTCTCTTCTTGTATTGAAACACAAGGACCAAACAGTTCAGAAGAAACCATTTTATTATTTTTCCCAAAGAAAAAAGCTATATAAATATTAGAGTATAAAACTTGCGTATATGGGGTGGGGAGCTACGGTGGCTATTCGAGAGAAGCTGTCTATAGAAGGGATCAGTACTGGGAAAGCGAGACTGGGCTGGGAGGGGGAGCTGTAGCACACAGACACGGCATAAAGCACAGGACAGAGCGGGAGCAGACAGAGACAAAGCCCCAGTACTGCCGTCCCCTCGTCATAGTCACAGAAGCAAGCACACAGCACTAGCTACACACAGGTTACTCTACACCGGCTCGAAGGTTGTGGTCAGGGTCACTACTCACTACACTAAAGGGTCGTGAAATGTGGGAGGGTCTCCTTTGTGTAAACAGGACTAGTACAGCCCCAGTTGGGCCAGGGTCAGGACTATATGAAGGTGGAGATTTAAGCAGTGGGAATGGCAAAGTAGAATAAATGGCACCTGAGAGGGTGAGGGAAGATGGACTTCATGGGGGACTACAGGAGAGCCCCTGCTCCCTCCCCTGACCATCTGTCTCTCTGGTCCTGGGTCTCTTTCCTAGTGTTTAGGGATAGAGAACATGATATCTGTCTGACCATCATGCAGGAACTTTGGGAGGAGGGTGTGCGTGGCTTCCTATACTGGCCAAACTGCCCCGGAACTGGCCAACACTGGCTCTTTCTGCTTATCCTACCTGATAAATAAGAGAGTATTCATATGCCTGGATCATCCGTGGCAACTTTGTCTATGTTCAGATGACCTAGCCTGAATTACCTCCCCGCTTCGTTACCCCCCCCACTTACACATGACCACAGACGTATCCCCATGTACATATACACCAGGCCCAAGAGCTCAATCTTACTTTGATGCCATTTGATTCCCTTTAAATCCGCTATGACCAAGGTGACATACCCCAGAGCCAGAAGCAGGAGGCTTTGTATCCAGGGGACCAGGTCCAACCCAGGGCTCTCTTGTCCAAGGTGCTTGGCTCCGTGACAGTCATAGAATATAGGAGCTTGATTAGTTCACGGAGCCCAACCAGTAACTAGTGGGAGCTGGAAGTAAGAGGACCCACAACCCCTCCTTTAAGACCCTGACTGAAGATTTTTCTTTCTTTCTAGTGGAAAGGTCCCCCCCATCCCTATACCCAACCTACTCATCCCACCATGCCATGCTATTTCCCAACATGCAATGGATTCTTTTGCTGAGGGGAGGAGAAAGAATAGGAGATGAGGAGCTCTGCAGACCACGGTCCCATAACTCAACCCTGGTCCCTGTTCACTGGGGCCTTGGGCAAAGGCTGAGGGCGGAAGATTTTTCCCCAAACCCAGTCCATGTAAAAGTAGAGAAGTTAAAATATTTGAAGTTGATTTAAAAAGGGGGAGTTAGAGGTCACTGTGCTCCCACAACTCTCCACAGGTGGGAGATGAGCACAGTTCTGCCCCTGCTCCCCAGATCTGAAGGCCACTCAGCCTAAGGTCTCATAACACCCATAATACCAAAAAGAAGGGAGGGGGAGGTTAGAAGTTTGGGAGTGGGAGACAGAGTCAGCCTAACTGATTGGGGGAGGGGGCAGGGAATGTATAGGGAGCCAAAATGTAACTGGGGGCTTCTAAGCTAGGGATGGAAGAAAGGAGGGGGGTTACATATGAATCTCCGTACTGTTCCCATGGGCACAGCATTTGTATTGGGGACTCCTGGCAGTACCCCCTTTGCATATTCAATCCCTTTGGAGGCACAGAAGAGGGTATTCACAGGGCACTTATTTGTGTTTCCCAACAGGGAGGGGTCACCATAGCTCCCACCAGCAGCCTGAGGGTGATCCCCTATATTCGGAGGACTCAGGGAACTGGAGGGAGGCTGGATTGGATCGGTGGGAAGGGTTTGCCCTGTGGCCCTGTGCTTGGGACCTAATGCTGACCCTACTTCTTCTCCTTCTTGCCAGATTTCTTCTTGTTTCCATTGCCGCCTGCAGGGGCCTTGCCATCTCTCTTCCCAGCAGCATTGGCCAAGGTGGCAGTGCTGCCCGGGATGTACACATTCTGCCTATAGTCAGGCACGTGCTGCAGGGTGAACTGGGGCCCGTAGCGGGCACTCAGCCCCATGGTGCCTGCACCCCCACCAAGGGTCGAACTTCCATCAGCAGCTTCTGAAGAGAGAAAAGGGAAGAATCAGAGATGTGATTTAGGGAGCCCTTGGAACCTTCCAATCTGCTGACTGCCCCCACAACTCTTCCTCTTTAAAATGAGAGGTGGACTAGATCATTGGGCGAGACTTGGAGCCAGACCTGAGTTTATCTGGGGCTAGGTGAAGTGGATAGAGCCCTGGGCCCGGAGTCAGGAAGACCTGAATTCAAATGTGCACTTAGGTACTTACTACTCTGTGCAACCCTGGGCAAATCACTTAACCTCTGCCTGCCTCAGTTTACTCAACTGTAAAATGGTGATAATAATAGCACTTAACTCCCAAAGTTGTTATGGGGGTCAAGTGAGACATTTGTAAAGCTTTTAGTGACCTGCCTGGCACATATCAAGTGCTCTATAAATCCTTATTTCCTCCCTTTCTTAATCCTGACATCTCCCCTCAAGAGATTATGAAATTATGGGAGAACAGAACCTAGGAGTCCTAACTCTCACATCCTTCCAGTTTGCTCCCCCTGGTTCCACTGGTAACTTCTGAGTCATCCAGTGCTGTGAAGGTTAAACAAATAGAAAGGACTGGCCAAAGAAAGGGCCTCCTCTCCTCCCAACCATGACAAGGGATAAGGGTAGTGACTAAGGTTGGAGAGGTTGAGTAATCTTGGGACACAGACCAGGGATTGGGAAATAAAGACGAGAGGTTTCCAGAAGGAACCTGCTCCGAATGAAGAGGGGAATGGAGACATTCCTTGCCCCTTTTCTCCCCAGCCTCAGTTCATTATTCTCTGAGCCCCAGGTTTCAAAAACCCTTTTAGGCTTACCAACCCTCTGCCCCCTGCCCCCATCCTTCCCAAGAATGGAGAGGAGATGTCTGGAAAAAACCAGTTGCTCTCTTTCTTTCCTTAAGATGGCCCCCTCTGTCTTCCTTCCACCCCCTTCCTCTTTTCCTTTCATTCTGACGTTTCTTGTTTTTTCCTAATTAGCTCAGCCTGGGAGCCTAGCCTGGCCCCCTAGCTCCACCTCCTCCCTACCTCCCCTCCAGCAGCCTCTTCTAGAAGCCTTGGAATGTATGTATGTGTGTGAGGGGGAGGGGGAAGGTTTGGGAATACACAGAAAACTGAGCTGTGCTTCTCTAAAGGGCCAAATCTCCAGAGTGATTTATGAAATAGAGAAGCCAGAGAAAACGAGAGACAGACAGAGACAGAGACAGACATAGAGAAAGAGACAGAGAGACAAACGGAGAGAGAGAGAGAGAGATGAGAGACAGATGGAGAGACAAAGAGAGAGAGACAGACAGAGACAGACACAGAAAACCAGAGAGTCAGAGAGAGACAGAGGCAGAGAAATAGAGATAGACAGACAGAGACATAGAGAGAGACAGAGAGACAAACAGAGAGAAAATCAGAAAGATAGAGAAATAGAGATAGACAGAGACAAAGGCAGAGTGAGACAGAAACAGGCAAATAGAGACAAATAGATGCTCACAGACAAACAGTGAAAGCCGGAGGGCCAGAGAAGAAACACAAGCAGAGACAGACCCAGGAAATGAGTTGGGGGAGGGGTGTAATGACAACCCCACTCTGCTTTGGAAATCTAGATCTTCACAATTTTCCATTGACCTCCCTCCTTACCTCCAAGAAAAGTACATTGTGGGCAAGGAGTAGCACACTGACTTTATAAGAAGGGAAACTGAGACACATGGAACAATATAAAGAACTCAGATTTGACTCTGCCAAGTATTAACTGTGTGGCTCTGGGCAAGTTATTTCACCTCCATTTCTTCATCAATAAGATGAGGAGGTTGAACTTGATAACTCAATATTCAGCTATTCTTTTTTTTTTTTTAATGTGCACATCTTTTTTTTTTCATTACCACTTACTGCATTTATTAATATTCAGCAATTCTTAATAATGTGTGTGTGTGTGGGGAGGTGGCAGTGAAGAAACTGCACTTAGGACAGGAGACTTTTCACCCTCAGTCCCTCCCGAGGTCCAGTCTGTTTCCCCAGATCCCAATCCCAGCCTAGGACCTGCTCTTCCCTTCAGCCCAGCTGCACTGAGCAGGGGAGGAACAAGCCATTTGGAGGCTCTGGGTCAGGACCGGTGTGAGCTGCAAACCGCAGCCTCCTGACTACCTCCCCTCCACTAACCCTTCTGTTTATTTAAAAAGTCTCCGAAGTGTAAGCTCCTGCTTCTTCTCCTCAGCTCTGTGGGCTTAGCCTCCAGCTCCTGGAAGCTCTGAGTCTGTGGAAAATGGGCATTGGAGTAAGAGCCTGACCCTCTTCCCCCACCACACCCTCCACTCCCGAGGGCTTTAAACCCACGTGGGTCATGGCCCTGGGAGGCTGCAAGGTTATAGAGCCCTGACAGGAGACAGAAGCTTTTCCTGGCTCTGGGCCCCAGCTGAATTTAGCCCTGACCCCTATTCCAGTGGGGCACTGAGGGGGAGTGTGTTTGCTCATGAGTGCCAATTCCATCTCTGGTTTTTAAATCTCCATTAAAAGTGAACAGGATACTCTCTGCCTGTGGAGCTTTGACCATAGCAGCTATATATACCTGACCAGTTTGACCACAGAGGTTCCAATTTGGTCTATGAATTGCATACCTCTCCCAAATCCCACCACATCCTCAATGTCCTTAACCAGAATTGTCCTACACCTTGGATGCATCTGTCACCATCACTTCCTTGCCTGCACCAAGCCCTGAAGCACTGGGTCATGAGGAAGAGGGCACTGGATTTGATGTCAATGGACTTCATTTCAAATCCTAGCTTTGCCAAATACAAAATGTCTGGAATTGGACAAGTCATTTCATTTCTATGACTCTCAGTTTTCTCATCTATAATATTAATAATTGGCTTTTATATAGCACTTTGAGGTTTGCAAAACCCTTCACATCCAACTGTAAAAGGAAGGGGTTGGACTAGAGATACTCTTTCAGCTCTTTTCCAGCTCTAAATTCCATGATCCTTGTCATGCCCTATTCCCTAGGGACCAGCTTCCCTCGTTGACAGACGGGCTTTACTTAGATTTATTGTTTTGTTGATGGTCTAGACTTTGAGCAAGTGATGAAGAAAATGTTAATAATACAGATTAAACTTTAAAATGTGTCCTGGGGACATTTTCCTCCTGCCCTCCCCCTCCCCCAAAGCTGGTTGTTAAATATTTACTAGCACTTCCCTGGGAAGCTGTTAGAAAAAGCAGTCATGGCCCTCTTCCCATCCTGTAGGAGTGAGGCATAGGGGCATGGCTGAGCCCAGGGTATCAGGGCTAGAGGCAGGCAAGGGGCCAAGGTATGGCGTGACTCCAATCTCGTGTTCTATACTCTAGGACTCAGAAAGCCCCTCCAAATGTTCTCAACACACCATGTGTCTGTAGCCTGACTCAAACATAGATTACAGATAATAGGATTGAGAGGTAGAAGGGACCTTCGTGGCCGTCGAGCCCTACCCTCTTATTTTATAGATGAGAAAACTGACACAGAGAAAGATTAAGCTGAGGATCACACAACTAGTAATTGTTTAAGGTAGGATTTAAACTAAGGTTTTCCTGGTACCAAATCCAGTGCTCTACCTTGCCTCCCACCTTGGGACTTGGTTTTGAGACCCCAGCCGAGACTCTAATTTCCATTGAAAGGCATCATTCTGTGATCATCACCAACTGCTCCCTCCCATTTTATTTTGTTTCCTCTACCCTTCTCCTCACCCTCCTTCCCCCCCAGCACACAACTCACCATTGGCAGAAGCCAGGATCATTGCCTGAAGCATCTCTGTATCAAATTGATTATTGGGCCAGGTGCCTCCTTCATCACCATTCTGGGAGCTATAAGGAGATAGACAAATAGTGAACATTGACTCTACTCTGGGATCTTTTCTCCCTGTGCTGGTCCCAGTCTGGGATCTTTGCATTCCACCCAGTGGGATCTGATCCCATCAGATAGATAGATAGATAGATAGATAGATAGATAGATAGATAGATAGATAGATAGATAGAAGGATAGCTAGATAGTTTGGGTTTGGGACTTGCCTTTTTATGGCCAGGGGACATACACCTTTGCCTACAGGAAAAGTGGGAGAGATCAACTGGACTATATGAATGTGATGGAATATGACTGTTCTGTTAAAAAAAAATGGATGTGGGGAACAAAAAAAAAACATGGGAAGACATGGAAAAGCATGGCAAATATGGAGTGATACAGAGCCAAGAGGGCTAAATGAGGAGAAAAATATACACAATGACAAATCAAAGTATACGTGAAAAGAAGGTGAAAGGACAGCTGAACCCAGATTAAAGACAGTAGTGCTTCATATTAAGCACTGGTTTCATATGGAAAATGATGAAGTACATATCCCTCCTCTCAGTATCAATGGATACTCAATATTGTTTTTGCATCAAAAATGGTCCCTATGTCAGCTGGTTTTACTTAACTAGATTTCTTTGTGAAAAGGGAGAGTTCGTTTGGGTGGGTGAGGGGGGATGTCTAGTATAAGAAACAAAAGGCAGAAAAACTTTTAAAAAAGATAATGAAAACATGAGTTTGTCCGTTATAATGGAATTTCAGGGACCAGAGAAGGCATCTTTTCCCTCCCTCTTTCACTTCCTATTGTCTGGCAAAATCTGCCATTCTGTGATGACCGCAAGGGCTTAACGTACACACACCACCTTTTTTTCTGATGTATTGATAGGTTATACTGATTTTTTTCTCTTCTGTTTTTCTTTGTGGTTGGGATAGCTCTTAGAAAAGGTGAGAGGGAGAGATAGAGGAGAAAATTTAGGCAATATAAATACAAAAGAGATCAACAAAATTTATTTTTTAAAAATACAAATACCACTCAAACATAAACATTACTTTTTATTCATGCTTTAAGGGCAAATGACTAATAGTAGAGCATTTTCTGAAATTCTATTTGTATTATGAAAGATGGGAGACAGAGGAGGGCCTAAGCCCCTGAAGATGCAGGCAGTCTCCGTGGGGTTTCCCAAAATTACTTTTTACAGAAAAAAGACCAAAAAATAGGAAACTGGGGTTGCCAAATCCAAATTTCTCCTATTTCATTCTAACATTATCCTAGCTGAGTACTTTCAAATGTATGGTACATAAGAAGGAAGATTGAACTGCAAGGCAAGAGGCCTGTGTCATTCAGTAACAGGAGACCTGTCTCTATGTGCCACTAAAGTTTATGACTTTGAGGGAAGGGAAGAGAAAGGAAACACAATTTCATATACTTCCTACTGTGTGCCAAGCACTGTGTTAAGTGCTTTTTACAAATCTTACCTCATTTGACCACATCCACCAAGCCTTCTCCATCTCTGGGCCTCAGTTTCCTTACTATAAAAATGAGACTGCTGTCTCAGGTGGTTTCTAAGGTCTCTTCTAGTCCTTATAATTCCTGACATTTCATGATTTTGCTGAAGGCTAAGATTGTTAATAGCCTGCCTGACCAGCGAAAGGGGACTCCGAAACAGAATCCTCACATCCCCGTAACTGCTCTACACACACACACACACACACACACACACACACACACACACACACACACACACACAAGCTTTGCCAACTGATATTAAAAGGGAAAATAACAAGATAAGGGGTGGAAAGGCAGAGAGTTCAGATTTCTCTGACCTCCTCCCTAGGACTCAAGGCTTTAGAACTGAAGCCTCTCCCTTCCTTCCCTGCAGGTGGGCACATCTCCTTTATGGCCACATGACTGAATTTCTACAGTCACTTCATACAGTCCCCAATCCCAGCCTGGGTTTCTCTTAATAGTCCCTGCTTTATCTGAGTGGAGAGTATTGATGGGTCCAGGGAGCTAAGCCCCAAGCAGGAGGAGTTCAGGCAGAGGTGACTGTGGCTAATGAGAATGAAAGGGGCAGCTAGTGGAGTGGGGAGTGGCGCCAAAGAATAGTCCATTCAGTTGTGAGAAGAGAGATATGAGAGTGGTATGGGGGGTAACAGCTGTGAGGTGAAGGAAGGAGAGCAAAGGATTTGGGCAGGATGCTAGAGGCTGAGCATGCTGCAAGGTTTCAAAGGAAGTGGTTAGAGGCAGCCAGCCAGGGAGTTAGGGAGCCAGGCAGCCAGGTAGCCAGCCAGCAATTTGAAGTGAAGACCTGGGGATGCGGGTGAGGAGGAAGCTTTGGGATTTGGGAGGGAAGAGTACTGTTAATGGTCTTTTAACCCAGTTCTGTGAAATGTTGGAGAAAAGGGGAGAAAGTAACTATTTCCCTTGAACCTAGAGGTCTGAGAACAACTTCGGGGGCAGATATGCTTCTTCAGGGGCAGATGTGCTTCTTCGGGGGTTTGAGGAACAGTGAAGCATGGACAGTGGGAGAGCTTGGCTAGAATGGAGTTAAGGGTTAAGATGATTTAATAAAAAAAAAACCCTTTCCACAAGAAGGAATTTTACATTCAGAGTAGATACCGCAGGTCAGAGAATAGAGTTTTCTATGTTAAAATGTATATGTGGTGTTTTAAGCTAAAATATAAATATAGGGATTTTCTTGTTTAATGAAGGAGAAGTCTATGAAAGTTGTTTTGAAATGCAAAAGCTACGTGGTGTAGGGGAAGGATCCTTTGAGTCACAGGTTCTGTGTTTGAGTACCTTGCTCTATCATTTATTAACTGTGTGACGTTGGGCAATTCACTTAACTTCTCTATAAAATGAGAGGATTGAACTAAATGACTTCTAAGGTCCACTTCATCTCTAAATCTATAATCCTACATATGTTAGGGGAAATGTAAGAAGAGGTTAGCAGAGCTGAAAACAACAATAAATTTAAATAAGTAAGTAAAATATCTCAGTTGCTGTTATATTTTCTTTAAAAATTGAACCATAACTGTGTAACCCTGGGCAAGTCACTTGACCCCAATTGCCTTAAAAAAAAATTAAACCATAAGCTAAATTAACCAAAAACAAGAGAGAAAAACTAAATGTTATTTAAACCATAAAGGAAATTAATCTTAATCAGTCTTATAGTAAAGAATATGGAATTAGTGATAGAGCAGTATGGTGATTCCCACGAGGTAGAAAGATATCAGGCTCTTAGAAGTGAAGATGGGTCAGGAAAATGGGATTGGAATTGAGGGACAAAGATCTCCCATATCTAGGGAATGGGGTAGAGTAAAATTGGGGATCTTAGCATATCAGCTGAAAGACAGTAGAATTATATATTCTACTCCTTTTCATCTTTTTCATTTCATAGATGGGGAAACTGAGGCCCAGTGAGAGGACTTGATCACAGTCGTGTTACGTATATATGTGTGTGTGTAATATGTATGTATATGCATATATGTGCATATGCATACACACATATGTTTATTTATTTATAGTGGAAATACAGAGGCAAGAACAGTATCTACTCCAGAGGCCAAAGAGCAAAGTGTGGGAAAATAAGACTCTACAGTGTATAAGTGAAAACTAACAGCCAGTAGGTTTTTAAGAACCAAATAGGAAAGAATATTAAAGACTAATAGGGAGCAATAATAGATAGAACCCAGACAGATATATTGGATCATCTTAAACCCGAGTTGTCACTTGCAGTGACAATGATAGCAATGGGTGCTTTAAACCTGAACTCAGCTAGCTGAACAGTGTAAAACTGTACTGTTGCTTTCAGCTGAATATAGCTGGTAGCATCTCTGCCACTGATAGACCTTGAGTATAACAGTGTAATGGATAGAGAGATGGTCTCCAATTCAAGAAGACCTGGGTTCATGTTCCAACTCTGACACTTCCTGGCTATGTGACCCTAGATAAGTCACTTCACATCTGAGGCAATTCTCTAAGACTATAAATTGCAGAAAAGGTGTCAACCTGCATGGGTACAAGGAATTTCCTATAAAAATGAAATCACATATCTAGTCCCTAACCCTATATAGATGGTAGCCAAAATTGCCTTCTACTCTAGGAAAGTTTCATTGTTTGCACAGAATTAGTTATGCTAAAACAGAGTGGAGAGTAGAGGCAATACCAAGGGAAGTTGGGAAAGGACCCAAGATGAGGCTTTTTATGGGGGGAAATTTCCTCCCCTCCAACCTCCTTTTTTTTTTTTTAATTCCTGGGTGTAGGTAGCTGAGAAAACTCTTGATCATCTAGAAAGGGAGTTCTTAACCTTTTTTTTTTTCTTTTGGAAAGTCTAGTAAAGTCTCTGGACCTCTGCTTAAGAGATATATTTTTAAATGCATAACGTAAATTACATAGGATTGTAAAGGGAACCAATTATATTTAAATACAGCTATCAAAATATTAAAAAAAAGTTCACAATCTCAGTTAAGAACCCCCAATCTAGAGATTAGAAAAGGATCCCTTCCCCATTGTATCCATCACCTGATAGAATTGGGATTCAATAAGGTTTGACCAATAATGGGACTATAGGAGCATAGGGGTGAGCCTACCTGTCCATAGTGCAGCTCCCTAGGATCTGGGACTTTCATCTAAGGTTAAGCATGGGTAGTATGGGAATGAAATTAGCCCATGCATAGACACATTATCTTTGTTGTTGTTGTTATTATTGGGAACTCTTTTTTTTTTTTTTGCTTTTTGATGAGGCAATTGGGGTTAAGTGACTTGCCCAGGGTCACATAGCTAGTAAGTGTCAAGTGTCTGAGTATTTGGAACTCTTTCAACATCCCAGTTGAAAGTATCTGAGGGAGCATCAGTGACTATTGTGGGAAGTTCTGTACTATTGCAGGGGTAGGAGGCAGAATTGCCAAAAGAGAAAAAGATCAGCCTCAGACTTGCTCCAGGCCTATAAGAGTGAGGGTACTGGGAAAAGGGTAGATGAAACCGAGAAAAGTTGACTTGCCTTGAGGTTATGTAGGTAGGAAGGGATTTGAACCCTAGCCCACCAAATCCAAATTCAACACTTTCCATTGTGCCCCAGGAGCTTGAGTGGGATTCCATTATATCCAAAACTTCTTCCCTACTCTGAGTTTCAGTTGGTACACTAATTCTTTTCCTCTGTAAGGTTTTCTCTTACTACATCCTCTTCCTCTCCACCCCCAGTCCCATCTCAGAATACTTCCTACCCTTTAGCTGGGAGCCACCCATAAGCTTTCACCAGTGGGCCCTGGAGCAGGCCCCAAGATCAGAGAAAAACTAGAACCATCAGGCTGAGATTTAGTGGGGAGAGGATTCCCTAGCTCCACAGTGAACACCCACACACCCACACACCCACCCACACACCCACACCCACACACTGCTCCAAGCAGGCTGATTCCAGACCGTTCAATGTGTCGATTTTTATCAGTGGGATAAGGGTTAAAGAGAAGTGATCAGAGAAAAAATCTGAGAGACAAGAGAAGGAATAGTACATATGAGAATGTACATGTTTGTTTCAATACATGTGAGACAGGTAGAGACTGACATACAGAGACAGGAGAGGTATAGTGGGAAACAGACTCATTGAAAAAGTACAGCACATAGATAAAGAGACTGAGAAACAGACAAAGAGGGAAACACAGAGAAATAGACCAAGGCAGAGAAACAGAAATAAACAGATAAATTGGAAAGACAGATGATAATTGGGGACACACACACATACACACACACACACACACACACACACACACACAGAGGAAGGTTTTCCTTTTTCTCTTCTCAGCATTGATGCTGCACTTCTCCCCTTAAAGGGGCATTTCCCATTACCTTTTGCAGAGCTTTTCCTTCCCATCTCTGCAGTGTCTCCTCCTCCACTGCTGCCCATCCTCCCACCCCTCCCCCACTGTTCTGTGTTTCTAGGAGAAACCAGCTGCCTATTGCTGCTGTCTACTGTTTTTCTGAGCTCTGCTTAAAATGGAGGGTCAGAATGGGAGTTGATTCCAAGCCAAAATCTTGGAATCAGGGGAGGGGAATGGAATGACCCTCCATCTTTTTACTCAGAGAGTGGATATGCTCTGGATCCCTCCACAGAGGTTAGAGTCAAGGAGGGATCCCCACCCCATAACTGATGACAACACTGGGTTAAGTAAAAGGGTGATGAATAGAGAAGAGACCAAGATAGAAGAAGCCCCTCTGGGTCAGCTCTCAGGCTGACAGACTGTTTCCATTATCTGGGAAGTGGGGGGGGGGAGAGGGGAGGAGGAAGGGAGGGAGTTCCACTCAAATATCATTTAAATACCATCCTGGGAGTTTACTACTGATGAAACTCATAGGCTCCCCAGGGTGTATTCTGAGAAATAGGAAGGAGGAATTAATGTTTTTTTTTTTAAAAAGGTAGTTTAGAAGGGTCCAGGCAGGTCTCCCTTCCCTCTGGGTTCAGGAGCTATTTGTCCCACACAGATGTTGGGATCCCAGGATTCTCCTGAAATCAACAGTGTGTATATGTGTGTAGCTGGGGGCAAGGAGAGAAGGGAGAGGAAGAAGTATTTGTATTTTGCCCCAAACCTTAGGCTTCACCCTTCCCACATTTCAAGGGAAGATTTTTCAGAGGAAAGGAAAAATAGTAGAATCACCTACCCACTGGTGCCAGGTCTCTGGGCCTGAGAGAAACGCCAGTCCGTGTTGGGCGGGGCTTGCTGCAGAAGAAACAAAAAAGAGATATGTTTGAGTGAGGCTGAAGAGATTCACTGGCCAGCCTCAGGCACTAGGCAGTGAAAGAGAGGGGCTAGAGGAGGCAAGCACCGGGAGGATGGGAGCAAATGAGCTCCTGAGGAAGGAAGGAGAGAAGGGGAAATTAGAGGGAATGGGAGAACTGGGGCAGGGGGGGGGAGAGACTGGGGATTAGGGAAATTAATTTTCCCAAAATGAAATAAATACTGGGATGCTAAGACTAAAGGTGAAAGGGACAAGATATATTGAGCAAGGAAAGAAATCTTTCTTAAAGGATAAACCCATCCCCCTCCTTCTCTCCTTCCAAGCCCTGTTTCTGCACCAGACAGACAACAAAAACAGAGCCACCAGAGAAGGTTTGAAAATGTTATTTGGTTCAGAGAAGCAGCAAGCCAGAGGATCCTGCTTTTTTCTATGGAAGGAAATGGAGGGCATTGTACGCAGAGTAAAGAGGACCCTAACTGAGTAGCCATGAGCCTGGATAGCTCAGCCTCAATACTTCAACATCTCCTTTAAACACTTTCAGATACCAGGTTCTGTTCTTCCCTGTTCAGATGCATATCTCTCGTTGCCAAACACATTGTTAATTTAGGAGACAAGCCAGAGATTTAGCTTTGTAAAGACACCCCCGGGGCCAAGGGGACCTCCTACCCACATACTCCATCCTGCTGGACAATGGCTACTTTGCTACAATGGATACAGAGAGAACAAGGATGCTCTGTCCTGAGTGGCAGGGGCCACTGGAACTATGACCTCCAGGAAATCAACTTTCACAGGGCTCAAGCCCGCCCCCCCTCCCTCTTCCTCTTTCCCCTCAAGCCCACATTTATGATGGCTGCTATTTGCAGCTATAGGACTCAGGGGATTCATGGAAGACAGAATGGGAGATTGAGCTATTATCCATCTCCTTGATCTCTGTGGTCCTGTCCCACCCCCTTACCTCTTTATGCAGAAAACTTGCAAAGAATATATCATTACCATAATAACAGTTTCAACTTATAATAGCACTTCAAAATTTATAAAGCACTTCATTTACATTTTCTCATCTGATTATGACAACTCTATGTAGATAGTACAGGTATTATTATCTCAATTTTGCAGATACATTCAGGAAAGGAAGTGGGCTAGTTGTGAAGAAAGATAAGGATTTGCAAATGTTTTATGCTGGTGCCCCCAAATGCCAAGAGATCTGGAGCAGGAGTTCCTAACCTTTTTTGTGTGTATGTCCTGGACCCCATTGGCAGTCTGGGGAGGGCCATGGACTCCCCTCCCAGAATGCTGTTTTTAAAAAAAATCATCATTTAAAAAAATGCTAAATTTTATTGATAGGTTAATAAAAATAAAAGTGTGATTTTTCCATCCAACATCATGACCCCCTGAAATCTATCCCACGGAACCCTTTGTGGAAGGAGACCATAGATTCCAGTTTTAAATTATCCCTGCTCTAGAGGAAGTATATTGTAAATCCCAGTATACTGAATGGAGAAGCTGAAAGGTATTTATAGAAGAAGAGAGACACCGAAGAGAGACATAGAAGAGAGTTGCACTGAATGAGAAAGGATAAGCAGGTTTCCATCTGTACTGCTGGAGGAAACACCTGAATTGATACAATCCGTCCAAATAGAGAAGCAATGTACAGATGAGAAAACAGAAACTCCAAGGAGTTAAGTGTCTTGCCCAAGAGGATGTAGCTGGTATGTGTAGTATGTAATATGCATGCTCTCTCGAACATATTTCTCCAGAAAAAAAGGAATGTCAGAACTGGGAAGTGATTCACCCTTGAATGCAGGGCAAATAACTGAGAAGAGCTTGTAGTTGAACTAAGAACTTGGACTCCCAAACCTAGGCCCAGGGGGAATTCCCCTACTCTATAGTAAAAGCTCTATTGCCTTTCTGAGGGTTGTGGTGGTGATGGTAGGGGGTTGGCAAATCCTTCAGCTTAAATATGATGGAGAGTCTAGTTCAAAACTACAGAAAATGAGGAGACTAGGGCTCCCTCTTGCCTCTGCTACTAGCTGTGTGAGACCTTGGACAACTCATTTCCTCTCTCTGGCTCTCAATTTCTTCTGTAAAAGAGGATTAGACTCTAGGATCTCTAATATCCCTCCCACTTCTGAAATCTCATGGTTCTATGGATCATATCTACTTTATCACAAATGGAAAGCTATTATCAGAGGTATCTATCAAACACCAGACAAACACCAAAAAGCCAGATAGGCATTTCCAAGGATAGGGGCCCCATCTAAGGCTTTTCCCTTCAGAAAGGAGAGCTGCCTGAGGAGCCCTAGAACCAGCCCCTGCCCCAGCCCTCCCCCCCAGTTATACCTGAGTGTGAAGTCCCACAAGTTCCTGCTTAACCCAGCTGTCCACCTAGTCACAGCCAGCTTTGGTGAATGTGTGTGATCCTGACAAAGACAGCAAATGTCTATCGCTCCTTAATCTTAAAGTGTTTTGAGAAATGGGAGTACCCTTACCACCTCAGAACTTCTGAGACTCCTCAGCTCAACTCACCTGATATCCTGAATATTGAATAGTATCACCAGTGTTTCTCATACCAGGGCCTTCTCTTTACAGGGTGATGCCTCTTTCAAACTGTCACATCTGAGTCCCAAGTTACTTGGGAAACAAACAGCTGTATCTTTGGGAGTTCCTTCAGGCCCATGTCTTTCAGATATACTAAAAGGGCTTTAGAGCAGGAATTCTTAACCCTTTTTTGTGTGTCTTAGACCACTTTAGAAGTCTGGATAAACCTATAGAACCTCCTCATAATAATGTTTTTAAATAAATGAATATAATAATAATATAATAAATGTATAATATAATAAATAAAATACATAGAATTACAAATAATCCAATTGTGTTGAAATAAAGATGCATTCCCCCCCATCCAAGATCATAGGCACCCTGAAATCTATCCACAGACCCCTTTGAGGGTCCATGGACTCCAAGTTAAGAGCCCTATTTTAGAATTTCTGCATATCAATACAGGTGGCAAGAAGTAGCACTGAAACTGGATGTTGTGTATATGTGAGGTGGGAAGAGAGAAAAGGGAGAGAGACAGATGGAGGGAAAGAGGAAGAGGGAGAGGAGAGGGAAAAGGAACAGTAGAGGAAGGGAGAAAGTAAAAGGGAGAGGGAGAGAAGAGAGAAAGAGAAAAGAGACTGAGATAGAGAAACACACACGCACACAGAAACCCACAGAATATGTCCTGTGAGAGAGATAACCTTGGGTGTGTGAGGAAGTTCTGTGTTGTGTGCCTGTGTGTGTATGTTCGTGTGTTTGTGTTTCTGTGTTAGTGTATCTGTATATACATGTTAGTGTGTCTGGTGTGTATAGTATTCGTGGTACAGTTGGAGTGTGTGTATACACTTACACGCATAGATACATACATACATACATATATATATATGACTGCGTGAAATGCATGGACCAATAGGAGTATGTGAATGTGAAAGACAAGGAAAAGGAGATGGGAAAAGCAACCCTTCTGGGCAATTTCCTGTTCCCATGAAGTATCAGAAATTGCCGGTAATTTACAAGCCTGGAATACTAAAAGGTGTGCCCTTTGAGTTTGTTGGAAGTGTGGACCTTGAAGAATCCCCCAAAGCTTCTGGAGTTTTCTCAGTGACAGTGGGGCCAAGAGATCTTGTCTCTGTTTGGTCCCCAAAGAGGTTCAAAGCCCTGACCCAGCCTTTTCCCAAAGCGTGGGTGTTGGCGGTGGGGTGGGGTGGAAATGAGCCGTTCTCCCAGCCTCTCTCTTACCCTTATTCCCCACTCTCCAATCCCTCCCTCATTCCCATTAGAGGTGAGCTAACTCAGTTTCTCCAAAAATGGCTACCTGATCGTTGGGAGTAAATGTGCCCTCTGTAAGAGGGCAAGATTAAAGTGGGGGGGGGAGGAGAAGTATCAGGTGCGGTCTCCCCTTCATTGATTCCCCAAGTTAAAGTAGTTCTACAGGCTTTCATTGGGTCGAAGGCATGGAGGGCGGAGCAGCTCACCTGGCTCGGCTCCTTCAGTGTATTGGAGCGAGACAGGCAGGCGTCAGGCTCCAAGGCCAAAGCAGAAGGCTGTTGGGCACTGAGCGGCCTTAGGAAGGTGAAGTCGCTTCCATCTGAGGCCGGAGAGAAGCAAGTCCTGTAGCAATGGCTCTGTGAGTGAGCCGGCCGCAAAGTTACCTCCATGTACTTTAGAGTGCCGTCCGAGCTCAGCTGCACATTGGGACTAGATTGCTTATAAAAATCTCTCGAGGGAGAGTCCTGGCGTCTGCAGCAACTTTCTCCATCCTCCCCTCTCCTCAGGCACTTAGCTAACAAAAAGGTGAAAGAGACTAGGGAAAGGAGGCTGACAGCTGCTAATGCTACAATAAGGTAGAGGGTGAGATTGGAGCGCTCCTGTGGGTGCGTGAGGAAGTCCCTGGATTGGGGCAGCTCCTCAGCGTCCTCGTCCTGCAGGACCAGAAGCACCGTGGCAGTGGAGGAAAGCGCAGGCTCGCCGTTGTCCCTCACCAAGACCACCACCAACTGCGTATCAGAGTCTCCCTCCTGCAGGGCCCGAGCTGTGCGGACCTCCCCGCTGTGAGCTGACACCTGGAAGAGGCCTGGGGTTGTCGACTGAGGCAACAGCGAGTAGAAGAGCCAGGCGTTGTGGCCTGAGTCGGCGTCCACTGCCGTAACCTTGGTGACCAGGGAACCTGGGGGAGCCGAGCGCCGAAGCCTCTGAGGGGAGGAGGCCTCTCGGCCTGGACGAGGATGCAACACTGTTGGCGAGTTGTCATTTTGATCTAGGACAAACACGTGCAGAGTGGCATTGGCGCGCAGGGCCGGGTAGCCCCCGTCCCTCACCCCCACAGTGATGTGGAGAACCTGTAGTAGCTCATAGTCGAAAGTGCGCTGGGCAAATACCCGTCCATCTTCGGGATTGATGTAGATGAAGGAGGACGCTGGGGCGCCCTGGATCTGAGTCCCTA